TGCTGTAGGCCTGCTCTGTCCCGTCAGGACTTTCAGGGTCTGCAAGTGAGCTCTCGAGGTGACAGGTAAACTTCCGCCTGGGAGCTCAAGCTAGAGCTGCACCTCCCATCTCCACAGCCCACAGTATCCCTGAGGCACTGTCTTCTGTCTTACGCAAAGCCTTTCCTTCTTCAAGGCCGCTCGGCCTTAGGAATAAAGAGAACAGGCAAGTCCGAGTCTCTGCCCATTGGCGAGGTTTATTTGCTATTGCCGAGGCACACGCCAGACTTTAGCCTCCAGAAGACCAGGCTCAAGCTAAGCCAAGCTTAGCGCCATCTCAAGGCTCCTTTGCAACTCACAGGCCCCTTCAGATTCTGCCAGCCAGGGAAATCTTTGGTCTGTGATGGTTGCAGCTCCTGCCTCACTTCCACAGCTGGGCTGGGCTGGGCTGGATGGGGGAAGGGGCAAATGGCCAGGGGACTTTGTAAGCCAAAGCAAGAGACGGAAGCCCCGTGGGGCCAGGCGCAGTTGTGCCAGTGGGGCCGTCTCGGGGGGGCTCGGGGCTCTCTGTGGTGGCTCTGGGGCTTTGTCCGTTTGGCCAAGAGACCCCCCGGGATCTCCCGAGGAGGAGTTGGCACTGAGTGTTAGAGAGGATGCCCAGAAGGCCCTGAGCAGGGGGGTGGGGATGAAGGGCGGGGCTTGTGGGCCGGCTGATGTGTCTCTGGTGGCTGTGACATCACAGCGGACAGGTCACAATGGGAGCTGTCCCTAAGGAGCACAGCAGGCAGCCCCAGGGCAGTTGGACTTGGGCGATCAGTGAGTGCAGATGCAGGGGGAAGGCTGGGATGGATGGGGGAGGGGGAAGATGCCCAGGGGGGGTGGTTGTAACCCTGAGCCAAAGCTGAGTCCCTCCCGGCAGGGCCGAGTTGTGCCCCTGGGGCCTGGCACACAGGTGCTCAGGGCTCTCTGTGTTGGCAAGTGCCCAAAGAGCCTTTGGGGATGGGCCGGCTGCCCCCGGCTCCACGGGACCCTGTGGTGTGGCGGGGATGGGGCCTGGGGAGACTCTGCTCGGCTGTCTCTTGCCTTTTGCCGGGGCACAGCCCAGCCAGGGCCGCTGGGGAAACTTGTCTCTCATCTCCTGCAGGCCATGGATTCAGCAACTCTGCTCCTCCTGGCTGTGCTGGCCATCCTGCCCAAGACGACACAGGATCCCCAGAGCGATGCGGTCAGCGCGCGGCGGATGACCGAGCGTGCGCTTTTTGTGGAGCAGAAGATGACGGAGCTGTGGGAGGAAGTCGAGTGGAGGAGGGCCCTGGACGATGTTCCACTCCTTTGGATCTTGCAGCACTGGCTCTTCTGGCTGGCTGCAGCAGCTGGGCTGGGCTGGCTGGCCTGGCAAAGGGAGGAGGCCTCTCGCCGGCGCCGTGAGCAAGAAGAGCTCAGCGCAGCAGCCGCTGCTGGCGGGCCTTTTGCAGCGCTCAGCCTGTCACCGCTGCAGGACCTGCCCTTCATGGGCCGGACCCTGAAGAAGCTGCTGCGGGACCTCCTGGAGGTGTGCCAGGTGCTCTCCCAGAACACCTTCATGCCAGAGCTGCACCTGGCCACTGGGCAGCAGGGCACCTGCATCGAGTCCTGGCATGAGCTGGGGGACTGCACCGTCTACCAGCTGCTGCTCTTCCTCAGGCCACCCCCCTGGCACTCTTTCCGGCTGCAGCTGCCCGACGCCATGGACGTGCCACACTCCATCCGTGTGCTGCTGGAGTGCTCGTGTTCCAGGACGGCGGGGAACATCTTCTGCTTTGTCCACCCCACCTACAACCACCAGCACTCGCCCCTCGTGCGCACCCTCTGCACAGACTCCCACTTGGAGGTGCAGAAGGTCGCCGGCTGGCTGCCCAGACTGGTGGAATCGGCCTGGGAGCGTTTGCCTCAGTGGCACGACTGGCAGCTCCGGCTGCTGCCCTCCTCCCGCTCCTGCAGGCTCCTGCTGACCGGCCCCGGCCAGGTGCGGCTCTGCGCTGTGCTGCTCTTGGCACTGCAGCAGGGCCGCCCGGGCACCTTCCTGCTCCTGGAATAGGCAGGCGCAGCTTTCCCGGGGGCTGCTTTGGGCCGGGGCTGCGCGGCGACTTGGGAGCGCACCCAGTCGGCACGGCACAACAGACCCTTGTGCTGACTGGACTGAAGAGCAGCACTCCTGGCTCTGTCTACTCCCAACTCCCCATGTGCCCTGCTCTGCCTTAAGCCCAGCTGCAAATGGAGCACCAGCAGCCACTCCCTCAACTGCCTTCCGTTCCCTGCCACCCTGGTGGAATGGGGGCAAGAATCCCAACTCCAACTTGGCAGAAAGTTAACTTTAAGACTACCCCCAACAATAGGTTTAGGAGTAAGTTTAAGAGTAAGTTTAGTTCCTAGGCATAATAATAGTCATAGTAATAGTAATAATAGTAATAACTAGTTTAAGATAGATCATTTTAATAAGAATTTAGTTTTATAAAACTCTAAACAGTAAGGTAGATAACGTTAGCTCCCAGCTCCCCACGTCCCCTGTCCTGCTTTAATCCCAGCCGGAAATGAAGCCCCAGCAGCCACCCCCTCAAGCCCCTTCCCTTCCCTTCCCCGCCACCCTAGGTTCATAATAGCTTTCATTAGAACTTTAGTTAAGTTTAATAATTATAAGGGAAACATAGATAAGTTTATTACTAACAATTTAGTTTTAAAAAACTCAAACCCCAAACCTTTATAAGGGTTTCTAGTGAAAAGCCAAGTGGAGTTCAGTAACAGCGGTAATTAATAAGGGAGGGGATCACACCAAAGGCGAGGGAAAAGCCCAGACAAGTGGTGCCCAATAGAGCGGCTCCCCCACAGCTGAGCCATGCCACACCCCCCTTGCGGAACCCAGGTGGGCCCCCCTTCCAGCTCCCTCGCCCAGTTTCTAAGCTGGACATGACCTTGGGCGGTGTGCACCAGAAAGACAGAACGGAACAGTGTGCAAAGGCCCAGGGGAAAGCACCTAGGAAAGGGAGGAACCTGGACTAGTGTGAGAGAAAGGTCCCGGTCCTTCTGGCTGGACCTTCAAGCGTTCAGCCAGCAGGGCATCGCCCACAAGGTGCCTCGGTCCTGAGGCACGTGGCGTCCTGCTGCTGTCAAAGGCCCTCTCAAGGCGGCTGCTCCAGCACTCCTGGGGCAGCAGGACAAGCCGTCAGGCTCAGAACAGCCCGTGGAGCCTTGAGACCGAAGGCAGCAGCAGAGCAGCAACTGCACGGGGAACGTTCTCAGGTGCAGACACGGCGCAGCTGCTCGGGATCTACTGCGCCCAGAGCAGAAATAAAAGAAAGAGACGATCACACACGACTATTTGCGTGGTAATTCTACAAGGATCTCCCCGGCCCGCATAGCTTGGGAGGCAGGGATTGCCCACCCGCCCTGGTGAGGGACAAACCGCTCTGGTGCGGCCGGATGTCACTCGGAGCGCAAGGCCGAAACCCAAAGCCCACGTCCAGCGCTTTCCCTCTTGGAGAAGGCCTTGGGGGTGGTGGAAGACACCTGAAAGGCAGCAACTCGAGAAGCCCATCTTGGCAGAGAGTGCAGCACAAGTCCTCCAGACACGCACGGGGCACCCACAGGATGGGCTCCTCTGCGCCCACTGTTCCGCTGTGCCCGTTGTTCCCACCCAGCTGCAGCACTGGCTTCACACACAGCCTGGGGAGAGCAGAGGGAGCTTTCATCTCCTCTGCCTTCCTGACCCTGCTCGCGCCGCGCAAGCCACAGCAAAAGCATGCGCGGTGCCCAGGGAGCCAGTCCACCCGGACAGTGGCAGCAGCACTGCCCCACCCGCTTGCTGCCTTAGATGCTGTGCCCCGGCTGCTCAGAGGGAAGCATCCCGGCTCTGTCAAATTCAAGGGACTTGGATTCTGTTGCCAAAGCTTTGGTATCTGCAGAGGACCTTGGAGCCGCACAGTCCCCAACCGGACTCGGGTCACAGCCTCTCTCCGCAAGCTCCCGTGTCTGTCTGGAGGCGCTGGCAATATTGTTCTCGCCGGGCTGATCCATGCAGAGTCTCTTGCCCGTGTCTCTCTGTGGGAGCTTGTTCTTGCTAAGCAAAACCAATCAGCAAAACCAGAAACTTCTCCTAAGCCCACCTCTGTGGCAGGCCTGGGAAAGCCATGACGTTTGTCTAGGAGCTCTACCGTCCACCCGGCCGGAGCAATTCAAAGCCAACCAGGTGGAGCAGAGGAAGGCCTGCTGTAGGCCTGCTCTGTCCCGTCAGGACTTTCAGGGTCTGCAAGTGAGCTCTCGAGGTGACAGGTAAACTTCCGCCTGGGAGCTCAAGCTAGAGCTGCACCTCCCATCTCCACAGCCCACAGTATCCCTGAGGCACTGTCTTCTGTCTTACGCAAAGCCTTTCCTTCTGCAAGGCCGCTCGGCCTTAGGAATAAAGAGAACAGGCAAGTCCGAGTCTCTGCCCATTGGCGAGGTTTATTTGCTATTGCCGAGGCACACGCCAAACTTTAGCCTCCAGAAGACCAGGCTCAAGCTAAGCCAAGCTTAGTGCCATCTCAAGGCTCCTTTGCAACTCACAGTCCCCTTCTGATTCTGCCAGTCAGGGAAATCTTTGGTCTGTGATGGTTGCAGCTCCTTGCTCACTTCCACAGCTGGGCTGAGCTGGGCTGGGCTGGGCTGGATGGGAGAATGGGCAAATGGCCAGGGGACTTTGTAAGCCAAAGCAAGAGACGGAAGCCCCGTGGGGCCAGGCGCAGTTGTGCCAGTGGGGCCGTCTCGGGGGGCTCGGGGCTCTCTGTGGTGGCTCTGGGGCTTTGTCCGTTTGGCCAAGAGACCCCCCGGGATCTCCCGAGGAGGACTTGGCACTGAGTGTTAGAGAGGATGCCCAGAAGGCCCTGAGCAGGGGGGTGGGGATGAAGGGCGGGGCTTGTGGGCCGGCTGATGTGTCTCTGGTGGCTGTGACATCACAGCGGACAGGTCACAATGGGAGCTGTCCCTAAGGAGCACAGCAGGCAGCCCCAGGGCAGTTGGACTTGGGCGATCAGTGAGTGCAGATGCAGGGGGAAGGCTGGGATGGATGGGGGAGGGGGGAGATGCCCAGGGGGGGTGGTTGTAACCCTGAGCCAAAGCTGAGTCCCTCCCGGCAGGGCCGAGTTGTGCCCCTGGGGCCTGGCACACAGGTGCTCAGGGCTCTCTGTGTTGGCAAGTGCCCAAAGAGCCTTTGGGGATGGGCCGGCTGCCCCCGGCTCCAGGGGACGCTGTGGTGTGGCGGGGATGGGGCCAGGGGAGACTCTGCTCGGCTGTCTCTTGCCTTTTGCCAGGGCCTGACACAGGGTGGGCCCTGTGCCGTCTGCAGCCAGGGGCTGCGTTCCCTTCAAGCCTTGATCCCCGTGCTCCCTCCCACCCCGAGCCGCTGGAGAAACTTGTCTCTCATCTCCTGCAGGCCATGGATTCAGCAACTGTGCTCCTCCTGGCTGTGCTGGCCATCCTGCCCAAGCGGACACAGGATCCCCAGAGCGATGCGGTCAGCGCGCGGCGGATGACCGAGCGTGCGCTTTTTGTGGAGCAGAAGATGACGGAGCTGTGGGAGGAAGTCGAGTGGAGGAGGGCCCTGGAAGATGTTCCACTCCTTTGGATCTTGCAGCACTGGCTCTTCTGGCTGGCTGCAGCAGCTGGGCTGGGCTGGCTGGCCTGGCAAAGGGAGGAGGCCTCTCGCCGGCGCCGTGAGCAAGAAGAGCTCAGCGCAGCAGCCGCTGCTGGCGGGCCTTTTGCAGCGCTCAGCCTGTCACCGCTGCAGGACCTGCCCTTCATGGGCCGGACCCTGAAGAAGCTGCTGCGGGACCTCCTGGAGGTGTGCCAAGTGCTGTCCCAGAACACCTTCATGCCAGAGCTGCACCTGGCCACTGGGCAGCAGGGCACCTGCATCGAGTCCTGGCGTGAGCTGGGGGACTGCACCGTCTACCAGCTGCTGCTCTTCCTCAGGCCACCCCCCTGGCACTCTTTCCGGCTGCAGCTGCCCGACGCCATGGACGTGCCACACTCCATCCGTGTGCTGCTGGAGTGCTCGTGTTCCAGGACGGCGGGGAACATCTTCTGCTTTGTCCACCCCACCTACAACCATCAGCACTCGCCCCTCGTGCGCACCCTCTGCACAGACTCCCACTTGGAGGTGCAGAAGGTCGCCGGCTGGCTGCCCAGACTGGTGGAATCAGCCTGGGAGCGTTTGCCTCAGTGGCACGACTGGCAGCTCCGGCTGCTGCCCTCCTCCCGCTCCTGCAGGCTCCTGCTGACCGGCCCCGGCCAGGTGCGGCTCTGCGCTGTGCTGCTCTTGGCACTGCAGCAGGGCCGCCCGGGCACCTTCCTGGTCCTGGAATAGGCAGGCGCAGCTTTCCCGGGGGCTGCTTTGGGCCGGGGCTGCGCGGCGACTTGGGAGCGCACCCAGTCGGCACGGCACAACAGACCCTTGTGCTGACTGGACTGAAGAGCAGCAGTCCTGGCTCTGTCTACTCCCAACTCCCCATGTGCCCTGCTCTGCCTTAAGCCCAGCTGCAAATGGAGCACCAGCAGCCACTCCCTCAACTGCCTTCCGTTCCCTGCCACCCTGGTGGAATGGGGGCAAGAATCCCAACTCCAACTTGGCAGAAAGTTAACTTTAAGACTACCCCCAACAATAGGTTTAGGAGTAAGTTTAAGAGTAAGTTTAGTTCCTAGGCATAATAATAGTCATAGTAATAGTAATAATAGTAATAACTAGTTTAAGATAGATCATTTTAATAAGAATTTAGTTTTATAAAACTCTAAACAGTAAGGTAGATAACGTTAGCTCCCAGCTCCCCACGTCCCCTGTCCTGCTTTAATCCCAGCCGGAAATGAAGCCCCAGCAGCCACCCCCTCAAGCCCCTTCCCTTCCCTTCCCCGCCACCCTAGGTTCATAATAGCTTTCATTAGAACTTTAGTTAAGTTTAATAATTATAAGGGAAACATAGATAAGTTTATTACTAACAATTTAGTTTTAAAAAACTCAAACCCCAAACCTTTATAAGGGTTTCTAGTGAAAAGCCAAGTGGAGTTCAGTAACAGCGGTAATTAATAAGGGAGGGGATCACACCAAAGGCGAGGGAAAAGCCCAGACAAGTGGTGCCCAATAGAGCGGCTCCCCCACAGCTGAGCCATGCCACACCCCCCTTGCGGAACCCAGGTGGGCCCCCCTTCCAGCTCCCTCGCCCAGTTTCTAAGCTGGACATGACCTTGGGCGGTGTGCACCAGAAAGACAGAACGGAACAGTGTGCAAAGGCCCAGGGGAAAGCACCTAGGAAAGGGAGGAACCTGGACTAGTGTGAGAGAAAGGTCCCGGTCCTTCTGGCTGGACCTTCAAGCGTTCAGCCAGCAGGGCATCGCCCACAAGGTGCCTCGGTCCTGAGGCACGTGGCGTCCTGCTGCTGTCAAAGGCCCTCTCAAGGCGGCTGCTCCAGCACTCCTGGGGCAGCAGGACAAGCCGTCAGGCTCAGAACAGCCCGTGGAGCCTTGAGACCGAAGGCAGCAGCAGAGCAGCAACTGCACGGGGAACGTTCTCAGGTGCAGACACGGCGCAGCTGCTCGGGATCTACTGCGCCCAGAGCAGAAATAAAAGAAAGAGACGATCACACACGACTATTTGCGTGGTAATTCTACAAGGATCTCCCCGGCCCGCATAGCCTGGGAGGCAGGGGGTTGCCCACTCGACCTGGTGAGGGACAAACCGCTCTGGTGCAACCGGATGTCACTCGGAGCGCAAGGCCGAAACCCAAAGCCCACGTCCAGCGCTTTCCCTCTTGGAGAAGGCCTTGGGGGTGGTGGAAGACACCTGAAAGGCAGCAACTCGAGAAGCCCATCTTGGCAGAGAGTGCAGCGCAAGTCCTCCAAACACGCACGGGACACCCACAGGATGGGCTCCTCTGCGCCCACTGTTCCGCTGTGCCCGTTGTTCCCACCCAGCTGCAGCACTGGCTTCACACACAGCCTGGGGAGAGCAGAGGGAGCTTTCATCTCCTCTGCCTTCCTGACTCTGCTCGCGGCGCACAAGCCACAGCAAAAGCATGCGCGGTGCCCAGGGAGCCAGTCCACCCGGACAGTGGCAGCAGCCACTGCCCCACCCGCTTGCTGCCTTAGATGCTGTGCCCCGGCTGCTCAGAGGGAAGCATCCCAGCTCTGTCAAATTCAAGGGACTTGGATTCTGTTGCCAAAGCTTTGGTATCTGCAGAGGACCTTGGAGCCGCACAGTCCCCAACCGGACTCGGGTCACAGCCTCTCTCCGCAAGCTCCCGTGTCTGTCTGGAGGCGCTGGCAAGATTGCTCTCGCCGGGCTGATCCATGCAGAGTCTCTTGCCCCTGTCTCTCTGTGGGAGCTCGTTCTTTCTGAGCAAAACCAATCAGCAAAACTAGAAACTTCTCCTAAGCCCACCTCTGTGGCAGGCCTGGGAAAGCCATGACGTTTGTCTAGGAGCTCTACCGTCCACCCGGCCGGAGCAATTCAAAGCCAACCAGGTGGAGCAGAGGAAGACCTGCTGTAGGCCTGCTCTGTCCCGTCAGGACTTTCAGGGTCTGCAACTGCCTTCTCTTCCCTGTCACCCTGGTAGAATGGGGACGAGAACCCAAGTTCCAGCTTTAGAGAAGTTGACAAAGATTAAATTTAGGACTACCCTCAGGAATAGGTTTAGGATTAAGTTTAATAGTAAGTTTAGTTCCTAAGTATAATAATAATAATAATAGTAATAGTAATAATAACTAGTTTAATATATGTCATTTTAATAAGAATTTAGTTTTATAAAACTTTAAACAGAAAGTTATATAACATTAACTTCCAACTCCCCATGTCCCGTCCTGCTTTAATCCCATCTCGGAAATGAAACCCCAGCAGCCACCCCCTCAAGCCCCTTCCCTTCCCCTCCCCTCCACCCTAGTTTAGTAATATCTTTAATTATAACTTTAGTTAGGTTTAATAATTTATGAGATGTAGATAGGGCCCTAGATGGTTTTTTGGTTAATAAGGAAAGGAGGTGATGGAATATGTCAGCCGATAGACACTGTTAGACTTTCAACCAAGCTCTGCTAGAAACACATGACAGAAACTCATGCTACTAAGCATCTAGTTGAAACACTTGCTTTTTTGAGTATTAGTCCATAAGCAGTTAGCCACAGCAGGAAGCTTCTTGGAAATTGCTTGTGTAGGACATATTTTTCTGTCTGGAGTAAGGAGTTACTGACTTCGACTCTGTGGTCCTGTTTACCTACACAGACAGCAGAAAGTACTTATTCTAAACACAATTCAGTCTAGCTTTTCTTGCTCCTCTTCAGTCTCGCTCTCACATTGCCTTTGCTTGCTGTTCCCTTACTTGCAGGTTCCTGTCACACAGGAACCCAGTGCCCCAGTCCCTTTCCTTGCTGCCAGTTTAAAAGGCCCCACAGCAGAGTTCCCAGTCAGACATTAATCATTCCACTCTGTGCCTTGGGACAGATCACTGTTGATCCAAGTGACATTAAACAAAAATCTGTAATTGCCTTTCTGTTTGCTCTGAATAAAAAGTATATGGCTTACCTATTAGTGTCCAGTGAGAACTGAACTTGGATGTAGATAAAATGGCAAACATCCACAGCCTTACAGGACACCCCAAAAGCCAGTTCAGTGTTCAAAGGAGTAGATGTAAAAATTTATTTCTATCATATGCCTCCAAGCCTGATGGAGTTTACATTTACTTATCTTCATTGAGGTAAGTCACTTATGTTCAGTTTGATTGGTGCAGTTCACAGTGGTAGAGTTAAATCCAAAGATAAGAAACAGCAACTCTTAAGTCTTTAAACGATATGGCACAATACTTTCTCCTCCTGAGAACACCCTCATTACACCCAACTCCACATTACCATTTCCACTTTTGAGAAAATAGGGTAAACTTGTGAAATCCAGCTACATGTAGGCAAGCATTATAGAGACCAACCTTCTAAATAAGAGGACAACTTTTATACCTTTCTAAATTCCACCTGCAGCCAAGCACTTTCCCCTCTCACAGTGTCTGAACCTACCCTTCTCTGGCTAAGGGGACAAATTTTAGACTAGAAGTGGCGCAACAAACTCGCTTGGTTTCATTTTAATTTTTCCCTTTTTTTTTCCCTGCACTGGAAACTGTGGCACTGAGTACACCTCCCTTTAGATGGACGACAGCTTTGAAATTTCCTAAATATGAAATTTTAGAGTGCAAGTTCTGATCAGGTACTGATAGATACAGCAGTAAAATTTGTTCCTTTCAGCTCCATTAGGGATTTGCTTAGTGTTTCTTCTAATGTTATTTTAGTATTAACTATCCCTTGAAGCAGATCTATGGAGAGCCAAATCTACATTTCTGTTCAGCTCTCAGTAAGACATTACTGCCAGTGGTAGGGAGAGAAGTAGCCAGGAGGACTTTGGCTCAAGGTGTAACTCTCTCCTGATTACCTTGGGAGGACTGACAGTAGAGAAACACTGTAATTCTCCATACCCGAAACGAATATTCTCATTTGGGGAGGAAAGGAGAAACTGCCTTCACCATTAAAATGGACAATGCCTCCTACATCATATGATACAGTCATAGTGACCTTACTTCTGTGCCTTCCCCCATCACATCCTGCATGTATACATGCAGAGCAAATGCACAAATACATGTTGGCTGCCCTGACTCCATGATCAAGAACACATCCTTTTCAGGGCTGGGTAAATCACACTTTCTTACTGAAGCCCATGAAAGATTTTTTTTTACTATCTGCTTTGGCATTTGCCAAGTACCCTGCAAAATGAGACTGATGAAAGGGGAGTAGATGCTATGAATTTGTGACAGATTAATATATTGATGGATCTTTTCCCTGCAGCTTTAAAATTGTAATGAAGTAGCAACTTAATACAGTCTGTTGCCCAAGTTTGTTTTTAAAAACTTCAATATTAAATTTGGCTTTCTCAGTGGCAAGCAAGTTAAAATGAGAGCAGTATTGATTATTGCCTCAGCAGCACTGTGATCTGCTCACAGCAGCCTGTGGAGAATAGAAATTTAAACAAAAGCAGAAGGTGGGCCAAAAGCTGCAGATGGTGATTAAACAGACACTCTGTTGCACACAGGCTCCCAGCAATCTTGGCTGTAATTGCTTACTCCTCAAAACGTTCTTAGGATCATTAAACAGAGACTCCTTTAATTGTCTGTTATTATAAAGGTTTCAGAGAGAATTTGGCCATTTCTGTTTGGCAACACCTCAGATAAATTCACATCATTTCTCATTGCCCATATACATTATACCATCATACGCCAGAGAAACGCACTCTCATTCCCTCCTCAGCTTTGGAGCAAGGAACAAGGGGTTCTTCACAGAGCTTGCACA